TCGACCTTGAATTGTAGTCTTGTATAAAGTGGTTTCTTCTTTACAGATGGTGAGTAGTGCTTTTCCGCTTTCTTTGCCATGTGTTTCTTGATAAATTTTTCGGAATAGCCATTTTCGATCAAAGTATCATATACAATGCTTAATGCATCTTCAGTTACCTCTTCAGAGCATATAGCTGTAACTCTGTGGCTGAGGGTCTTCACTAAATTTCTACATACATAATAACTTGTATCATCTAAATTTATTCAGATGAAGCGTGCTAGTAGGCATTATCTATACGATATCATATCACTATTATGTAATCCAAAGACTAGCGTAACTCCACTGATTTTTAAATGTGCCATCTCTAGAGTATTACAAGGTGTGCTCATTTTTTACAAAAATATATACCTGGCCAGTAAGTATTGATATGAATATTCAAAAGGAGAATGAATATACGTAATCTAAATGCCTTATAAATTATTATTATTATTAGTAGTAGTATTCAAGTTAATTTCGATATGTCAACGAAGAAATACATAGATTTTAAATCCTCATAATGTTTTCTTTTATTACTTGTTTATTTCAATGATCGATGTTTTTCACCTGTACAGAGTACAATTGTGAAAAGATATACTAGATGTCAGTTTTTGTTGTTGTTGATATCTCTTGAAAATATCGAATCCTATCGTTCAGACATTTTGTTCATTTTACGGTTGTTGTTTGTTTTTTATTTTAGCTGAAGATGATACACTGTATACCGAAGACATTGATGATGAAGAAATAGACCGAGTGAGTATTTTTCAGTGCATAATTTTCTTTTCTTTGTTCACTTCTTCAGCTTACATATGGTATCTTATATATTCAATACAAATCAGTATCTGTCAATCACTACTGATGACTGAAGTAATTTATCCGAGAATCTAATCCAGCCAGCATTTTAAATTGTCACACTGTTCCTTTGATATCATTTTTATCATTCTTTGCGTTCTGAGTGAAATGTAGGACTTGAAGCATTAAATTTTCAGTTGTAGGGGTGTTATTTTTACGGAGTGTGGTTGCCGACCTCATGCCCAATCCTCTGTCTTCTCTAGGTTGATTACCGATTAGTAAGCTAGGCAAATTTTAGGAGTGCGTCAGCCGGGAGTTGACCCCGGACCTCCTTCATGAAACCGGTGAACATTGCAACACCGCCATATATATATATATATTTGATTGCACACTAGTCAGTAACTAGTGTAATGCGTCTAGTCCTATCTTCGGTGCAGACTGAATTCTATCAGTCATGTTTGCAATGTGGCCACCATGCTAGGTGGCTCGCCATATATATATATATATATATATATATATATATATATGAATATATGGTTTAACATCTCAACTGTTTCAGAAGGATTAACCAGCGATTTGTGTGATTGAAATACATAGAAATTTCTTTATTTTTTGTTGATATTTTCTATTCCAGGAGTATTTACTTCAACCCAGAGAAATCATGCTGAAAGCAGCTATATGGTTCAAAGCCAATGCAGAACACTTGGAACAAGCACGAAGTAAGTTTAAAAAGGCGTTATTTCAGCTTATTCCAATTTTTACGAGTTGATCACGGATTGATATCAGTTAGAGAACCATTGAAAACCAGCACTGGAGTACTGAACAGTCAGCTGTTTCATCCTAGTTTGGGAGTCATCAGCAGTACGCACCCACTGGGGTTCGAACCCACGACCTTCCGGTTACAACGCAAGCTCGTATACCATTCAGCCACGGGGACCCAATTCACTGGCAAGCCCATGAGTTCTAACTTCTATCAATTCGTGATTTAGTGAGACCCCAACCAATGTCATCAGTGGGACATCCATCCTCACACGTGACTGGATGGACCTCACTGGTCACGACTTATCTCTAGAACTCAATTATATCTCGACGTTAGCAAAGTCTTTGATAAAGTCCCACATATTAGACTCCTAACAAAACTACAATCCTACGGAATAACTGGGAAGCTTCTCGAACGGATAAATTCTTTCCTCACAGATAGAGAGCAGTTATTCCAATTGTTACTGAAAGCTGGTATACAGATAAATTGTATGATTAGTAAAACTGAAGAAAAAAAAGTAATGTCCACCTTGATTGGCGTTCTCATAGCTGAATAGCGGATGTGTTATTCTACTTTTTTTGTGTTAGTCTAATCGTTTGATCACCTCGTATAATCTGTTTTGCGTGCGTGCTTTTCGACTCATCCGATAAAATTAAGGGAATTATCGTGGTAAATTACGACAGTTGATAAAAATGTGGCAATATAATTTATTTAGATTATTTCAAAGATTTTAGAGATTCGTATAGTATCACAGAACATTTTGTTGGCGAGGGATGTAGTTTCTCTCATAGATTTTCACAGGTTATGTTACGACCAAACTGACTTGTTGTGGTTTGAACTCAGAAAATCGGTATCTGCATTCTTCTTCTGTATAGCTGACGAAATTTCCTTGAGAGACTTACAGTCGCAAAACGCTCCAAAGACAGTGAAAAGACGGTTATTCGTTGCTGGAATCTGTGGTTCTATTCAACATTAACCCCAAAAACATACTTTCTTCAGCAGTGCTGTTAGGCAGCTATGCAGACATTAGTATTTTCTATGTATCAAACAAGTACTTAGGATCAAGTAGATTATTCCCAACAAGGTGGGATCAAAAACTGTCCACAAGAATTACAATTTAAACGCTTCCCTCAGACAGTCCAAGGTCAGAGTGACCTTGATTAGCACAAACAAAATCACATCGTAAAACGACACATTATCAATGTATCACATGGCCGAAAAGGGACACACTTAAATTAGAAACTGAACAGGGACAAATACAAATAACAAGGATCAAGTCGGCGTATGATATGCAACTGTTAGAGTAATGATGTACAGTACGAGAAAAACGGTTAATAATTAAAAAGTTAGCTGAAGCATGCAAATAAGTATAAACATTGTGATTAGATCTTTCAGGGGGGGGGGTTCAAACAATGATTACGTTACAGATAGGACTCAGTTTATTTGTTTTTCAATTTTTCTAGTGATATTTATGATAATTGTGGTGTGAAGACTCACCGCTGCATTTGAGTACGGGTTTATTCAAAATTCAAAGATTTGTTTTTGGCTAAAATTTCTCTAAGGTGCCAAGTTTCGTTGGTAATTTTGGGGAGCTTCACTCACCATACTGGGTGGTTTGTTTCCAGTAGTCTGTATGCGCTTTCATTCTCCTCCTAGATTTGCCAATCTAAACTTTGTCTTAGTCAGTTACCTCAGAATATTCCAAATTAATGGATCGGCTTCATTATTAAACTTCTTAAATTAAACGTATTTCGCAATATTATTTCTTAATATTTTCTTATGACTGTCCCCAAATAAAAAGTATCAGTAAATCTGTGGATTACTATAAACGCACCTAACAGCGTAAGCATATGATTCTTCGTGAGTAGAATAATCTACAGCATATCTCATCAGAAGTTAATTATTTCTCATGATATATTTCATCAACAAAGTCACCTCAAAAAATATCAGGGTTTGAGAGCAAAATGTAAGTGAAAGCTCTGTAAAAAGGTTCACTGCGCAAATGAATCCAACTTGATAGTCCCATGCACACTGTCTGCCCCCCAACTAGACCAAGAGACTGAGTCCGTATTTAAGGAAGAAATAGCTAACCCAGTGTCTGAAATCGACAGCAAAACTCTTCCTGAGGAAGCCTGGCACAACATACAGTTAGCTGTAGACACATCTGTAAAGGCTGTTCATAACATAAAACCAAAAGTTAGTAAGAGCTAGTGAATTTGTACCACTTCATCTGAACTGATTAACGCAAGAAGACTGATTCTAGCGAGCTCCAGATATGATGAGGAACGGAAACTGCTCGAACGCAAACTAACAAGAAGTCTTGGTAACGACTGTAAACAGTGGTGGGCGACAAAAGCGAAGGAGATGGAAAAGTCATCGGTGGTAGGTAACACCAGACAACTATTTAAACTTTAATTGAATTTTTAGATTTTCCCGTCGATTGATTGGATCGAAGTGCTCGGTCTCAGGATGACATGTCGGCTTCTTGTGCAGATGCTTCGACAATGTCTGGGCATTTAGTTAGAATTTAATTTGTGGATGTGACTAGCAGTGGAATCCAGTATGCGCGTTTCGTCCTATTTGGGACTCATCACTGGATGTACCTGCATTCGATTAAATTAAATGACCCGTTGCACAAGAGGCGGCTCTCGTAGCCCAAGTGGTCTAGTGGAGAACGCTTTGACGTTTGAAACCATGGGCACTGCATTCGAGCCTCGGTGGGAGCATCATCACTCACTGGAAAATGCAGGTACATCCAGATGACGAGTCCCAAATAGAACGAAATGCACATCCTGGATTCCACTGCTAGTCACATCCACAAATTAAACTATTTGGACTTACCACAAAAACAGGTGGTAAAAAGCAAATGATAAGCGAAACAATCTCCGAGAAAAATCGCACAATGATCAGTTCGCAGGATAGACGATTAGAATGTTGGAAAAAACATTTTTAGGAACAATTTAATTGGCCTACAGTCACGATCAACTTACCCAGCATCCAACACCTCCGTAAATGGGATATAGGCACAGGTCCTCCGTCCCTGACTGAGGTTACTAAGGCTGTCACTAGTCTAGAACGAGGCAAAGCAACAGGACCTGATGGAATGACTGTAGAGGTGTTCAAGGACTGTGGAGACGATTTACTCTCTGCGTCAACCAAGGTATTAGGCGGCTTCTGGGAATCAGAGATAGTCCTGTCGAGGTGGTGTAAGTCATTGATTATCCCGATATACAAGAAGGGAGACAAGTCTTCCTGTGATAATCACGGGGGGGATTAGCTTGATCAATGATGAATTTATTTGATAAAATCACACTGACACAGTGTTATCTGTTGATGACGTTTCGAGCACAATTTATTGCTCACAATCATATCAGGGAAGTCATATAACTGTTGGTATTAGATGGTTGGAGGCAGTCGGCAGGAAGCCTTGGACCTAGGTTTCGTGCTAGTTGGCACTCATCAGCAAGGCGTATCTGCAACCTTGAAGGAACTGATGTCCCTTCTGAGATTCGAACCCGCGTCACCCAGTGCTGCAGTCAGAGACGTTACTACTGAGCTATTCAGGCTCGCGACTGACCTCCTGTAGGACTGTCATATAACTTTCAAACTTCGTTCATGTAATTCCTTTATTTCTTATCGTTCGATTTAATTGGTGGTGACATTTTCCATATCTTTGATATTGGGGACGAGTTATCCCAATGGAATGTTTCTGGTGTAGAATTGATGAACAAAGATTAAGTAATCAACCTTTCACTCTCTCTAAAAAGTAATATAGGTAGGTGCTTGCTTTGCTTTACTTCGGTTATCTCCTACGAGAGGATGAGCCGGCTTCATGAACATCTCGAATCATCGCTGCCCAGGCGCGGCGATCTGATGCAAGGTTTTGCGACAGGGTTATTCAATTCTTCTTCCACAGACGGAGTCCGTAGACGGTTTGTAGCCCCAGGCACTCCATATCAGCCTTGACTGTACCAAGCCATGTTTTCAGCTGTCCACCCCTGCGACATCGCCAAGATGGTAATGGCGAGGGATTTAGAACTGATTTGAGCAGATCGTCATCTGGTCGGCGCAGAACATGGCCAAACCACCGAAGGCGACGTTGTTGGACCAGTACTGGAATTTGGTTGGTGTTGTAGCAACGACGACGCACTTCTTCGTTGGAGAGTTTGTCCTGCCAACGAACATGCAGAATGTACCTGAGGCACCAGTGGTCTACTACCTCGAGTCTGCGTACATCTTCCGCGCGAAGAGGCCAGGTTTCACAGCCATACAGGAGAACGGATCGTATGGAGGCTTGGTAAACCCGAATTTTAGTCCTGAGACTGATTTCCCTCTTGCTCCATAGAACGCTTCTCAGCTGAAGAAACGCATTCCGGGAGTTGGAGATTCGCGCATTCACTTCGTTTTTCGCTTGACCGTTGGGAAGCATTATGGATCCCAGATATCTGAAGGATGGCACAATTTCAATAGGTGCTCCATTCAGGTATAAGATTTCATCATTGCTGGTGGATGTGTTCGAAAACACTTTGGTTTTGGAAGTGTTAATTTCCAAGCCGATAGTAGACGCGAGGTGGTTTATCTGATCGAGCGCCTGTTGCATATCAGGGAAGTTTTCAGCTAGTAACACGACGTCGTCGGCGAATTCGAGGTCGGTTATGTAAATATCGGGCGAAAGTTGGACGCCGTGGTGCTCGGTTAGGGCGTGCCGCAAAATCCAATCAATTGTGAAATTGAACAGGATGGGGGATACTGGACAACCTTGCCGGACACCGCTGGTTACCTCAAAAGTGCGAGACTCTTCACCGTTCACTCGGAGTCGAGCTTTGGTGTTGGAGTAGTATGACCTGAGCAGGTTGAATAGCTTGGTCGGAACTCCTTCGAGCTCCATTAGATACCAGAGTGCTCCTCGATCAACTGAGTCGAATGCAGCTCGGAAGTCGATGAAACAAGCAACCGTCGGCTGTTGATATTTGTCCCTGTGTTCCAAAATTCTTCGCAGTGTGAATAATTGATCAATACAGCCTCTTCCAGGTCGAAATCCGGCTTGATTTGGCCTTGTTCGCACGTGGTGTTCGGCAGCGAAGCGGTTCAGGAGAATGGAAACAAAAACCTTAGCAGCGATATCAATCAGACTTATGCCTCGGTAGTTCTCACATATTGACCTGTCTCCCTTTTTGTGGAACGGTAGCAGAACTGAGGTGCTCCAATCGGAAGGAATGGTTTCGGAATCCCAAATTGAGCAGAACAGCGAGTGCAGCGAATCGATTAGCGCTGGAGTGCAGGCCTTGTATATTTCTGGAGGTAGACCATCTTCGCCCGGAGCTTTTTTGTTTCTGAGTCTGTTAATTGTTTTAGCTATTTCGGTTGGAGTGGGTGGATCGCAGTCAACTACGTAGGGTGTTGGTAAGTATCGTATCGGTCGATGAGACGGTTGACCAGCGTTGCGATTGAGTAGCTGCTTGAAATGTTCGGCCCATCGTTCCATCTTACCATTGGTGTCCGAAATAATTTCTCCTGATGCTGTGCGTAACACAGCATGGCTGTTAAGGCGTTTGCCAGATGATAGGCGTATGAGGCGATAAAGTTTTCCGAAATCGCCTACATTTGATGCTGCTTCCATGTTAGTCGCCACATTAGACCAATAGCGATTTCTATCATTCCTAGCAGACTGTGTAGCTTTGCGCCTGAGGGAGCGATAAACTGGAGACTTTGCTAGGCGAGCGTCTCTGGTTTGCGAGGATAGATGCATAGTGTGCTCTGAAATCCAGTCTTTCTCTTTGTTGGATGTTTTACCCAAATGCGACATTGAAGCTTTAGAGACTACTTCTTTGAAATGATTCCATCGTGTCTCAGGTGTATTAGAAGATGTGGATGTTGGCTCATCTGCGGCGCTTAGTTCGGCCTGGATTTGTTTGGACAAGGCTTGTCGCTTTATCGAACATTGAAGCAGGGCAACATTGATACGCTTCGGAGGTCGCACCTTCTGGCGTGTTGTTAAACGAAGTTTGAATTTCGCCCTAACTAGAGTATGGTCTGATCCCCCTTTATTTCCGTCCTCTGCGCCACGATAGGATCGGCAGTCCTCCACCGAGGAGATCCAGCGTGAGCGCACTAGGATGTAGTCAATCTGATGTGCAGTGCGACCGTCGTTCGAATACCAGGTGAGAAGATGTTTTCTAGGGTGTTGAAATCGAGTGTTGGTGACAAATAATCGATTGTAATCAGAAAAAGCTAAAAGTCTATCACCATTACGGCATTGCTGATCGAGACCGTGTTTGCCTAGTATATGTTTTGTCGCGTCGTCTGAAGGGCCAGTGCGGGCGTTCCAATCGCCGGCTACTATGAGAACGTCACGCTTTGGGATTTTGTTGATTGCCTCTTGAAGATTGTCATAAAATTCGTCTTTGATACTTTCATCAGAGTCGAGGGTTGGGGCATAGACAGCGAGAACAGAAATGTCGAGCGGGGAACCCTTGGACCTAGCGATTGCAACTCTGGAGTTGACCGGTTCGAACGATATTAGGGCATTATTGGCTTTGTTACTGAGAGCAAATGCTACCCCATGTTGTCCCGAATTATTCTGGGGTCCACTATGAAGCAACCAGAATGAAGAATCTGTTCCAGGTACGGCTATTCGGCGGGAGCCATGATCGGGCAACCTCACTTCAGATAGACACGCTATGTCCACCTTGTAGTCGTATAAAGAACGCATAGTGATAGACTGGCTACCAGGATCCAACAGCGTCCTAACATTCCAGCAGCCAACAAATAGTTGGTTTCTAAGTGTTAATTTCCCAGCTGGCTTACTTTTCACACTGGCCACCGGGTGAGCACAGGGCGCGTCGCTTACCGGGAACGCCGTAGCATGGTGAGAGTCGTTTGTAAGAGAGTTCATGAAGTTTCATGGGAATTTGGTACGAGTGAAGTCCCCAGAATCGCTCGGCCTTTTGTTCGAGAGTGCAGCTCTAGCCTTTACACAACCAAGTGTGACCTACAAGGCAGTAGGAGTGGAGTAGGGAGTCCACTATCCATTGGCAGCCGGTGACCGGAGTTCGGTTCATACGCCTTTTTGAATGGGGCCAGATATCCAGGGCATCCAACACGCCCTTTGTCCATACGTCTGCCGGTGAGCTCCAGTGGGCTTCATACGCCAGTCGTTGGAGGTTTGGAATCAGGGTTTAGCCACCTCCCCTAGACTGTCATCTAATGGACAGTCAACCCGGTGAAGAGCGCCGGGCATCCGCTTTCGCCCTCTCACTTTGGTGAGAAACACCTCCACCACATGAAGGCAGTGAGTAGGACTTCCTCAGGAGAGGCTATGTAAGACGCCCGGTCATATGGGAGCATTTCAAGAGGTGTGCGGAGGGGTGGCCAACCCGCAGCGCAAGGCACCCACCCCCGACCATCCTGAGGCTTTGGAGGCAGGTGGGGATAGAGATTGGTTAGTGAATCTTTGTTCATTGAATTTACACCTAACACATTCAATAAATTTACTCTGTAGCGGCACTAATTTCACTTGTAAAGAAATACGATGTCTCATACAAAGGTCATCAGAATCAATCCAACGATATACACAGACAAATTATCAATAAATGAAAAACAATGGAAGATTGTCGATCTCCAATCGTACATAATTCTGTTCGTATGTGTCTACAACTGGATGAAAATAGAAAGGGTCGAAAATATGTAGTCCTTTATTGTTATAATATTTGCAACATCTGTTGTTGTTATTTTATCATCCTTAGAATATCTAAAGGCTGGGATTTTTTAGAATGAACACACGTATTTCATATACCATTTTATAACTGTTTTATTTATTTCCGTTTAGAACGTAAATTAGCCAAAAGACAAAAAGAACAGCAACAACAACAGGAAGATATTAAAGGTCCTAAAAAGGTTTGTTTATTTATTCTAATAAATCATTTTGTGTCATTTTAAATTGTATATTACTAACATGTTATCATTCAATCAGAGTTATCGAAGACACTTACTATGCCTGTTGGATAAATCACTCGAGAACATCCTACTCACAGTGAACCTATTTAACTGTACTGTATGAAATTTGAAATTCTGCTAAGACAAAACCTGATTTTTTCAGTAAGTGAGTGATGAACTTGTCAGTGATTTTAGCTTGTGAGATTTTCGTTATGCGAAGACTAATTTCACTGCCTAGTGACTTAAGAAACCTTTAAATTAGCTTGGTGACAAAATCTCACAGCTCAACTTTTGCTTCATTAGAGCAGTAACAGTCGAGTTTGTTAAACCAGATGTTGACATTACTCCATAAATTCCTTTGTTTTCTTTGCATGAAGGATTTTCATCATGAGCTGACGTCAGTTAGAGAACCACTGGAAAATCAACTGGGAGTACTGGACAGCTGTTTCGTCCTAGTTTGGGACTCTTCATCAGCACGCACCCACCGGGGTTCGAACCCAAGACCTGGTTACAAGGCGAGCTCGTAGAACATTGAGCCACTGGGTTTTCCAGTGGTTCTCTAACTGATGTCAGCTCACGATGAAATCCTCCTTGCAATCAAACAAAATCCCTACAAAACCAATATCCTTTGTTTTCATTCAATTTGCAAGGTATGTATTTTACCTATATGTTAGTTCTTTACTTACTGGAATTAGGATCCACCTACACTTAGTACTGACATGGGTGGAAAGAATATGGATTCCCTTTTGATTGTAAATATACTTTACTGACAAATGCTAGGAAGCTATCCGGGATAGATTTTTCATGTATCAGGCTATGACCCACCCACCTGGGTTGATGATACTACCCAGTTGCCTAGGATGAAGTAGGTGTAGTGGGATTTGAACCTCGGACCCACCAACTGAAATTTGAGTGCTTAATCTAGTGAGTTACATTTTTGTGCCAGCTGGCACAAAACCTAGATACATACTTGGTTACCTGTCGAATAACTCCTCCTAAGATTGTAACTCTATAAATGCTTGGTTGTAACAATAAACACTCAGTTTTGCCAGTGATATTTGATCCATCTGATTTCTTTCTACCTAACACTTAACTCAAGTTATACAATTCATTTTTCATTCTTTCGTTAATTTTTTTTTTGTGTTCATGGTGATAATTGCGACATATGCGTATTAATTCGCTCCAAAAACGATTTGTAAGACAGATGGATACCTGTCTGTCGACGTTTGTTATCTGATGCCTTTAAATTAAATAGGATACGTAATTGTTGAATATTTGAGCTATTTTCTTATTTTACTTAAGTGATCTCTTGATTGTTGTGATTTAATCTATCTACCATACAGACTTATTTAAAAGTGTATTAGTTCATCACGTCGGTTTTAGACATTGGAAGATTGTATGTATTAGTTGGTTATGAGTAACAATATTTTAATCACGTATTGATATCAGTTAAAGAACTATCGGAAACCAGAGAATACTGGATAGGCGTTTCGTCCTAGGTTGGGATTTTTCAGCAGCATGCACTCATGACTCTACCGGGTATGGAACCAAAGAACTTCAGGTTGTGAGGTGAGCTCGTTTACCCTTCACCCACTGGTATAGATTCCAATGACTCATGAATTCTAACTCCTGTTTGTTCGTGGGAGACCTCCAGTGAGATTATAGGTGTTCCGAACTAGAACGCAACAACTGTCCAGTACTCCCTGGTTTTCAGTAGTTCCCTAACTGATATCAATCTTCGATCAAACTTAAAACGTATCAAATCCCCGACAAACTAACAGTTTAAATTTTTTAAAAACATTTCTTAAAAATTTGGTTAACCTAAAAATAATGTCAGTTTGGTTTGTTGATATACTGAGATGAAAAATTGTAAAAATTTGTAAGATCCTAAAATTTTAATATACCGTAGATGAGTGATGTAGACAGTTAACCAATTGGTTCATACACTTAGGTCGTATTCAAACAGCTTCATCTGTATATACAACGTTTGGCTAATAGAATTTATATATTATATGGTTAATCAAGTTAAATTTCTTGAAAATCACTGATTAACTATACTCTATATTTAAATCAGCATTGAGACGGGAAATAACCTTTTAACTTTCCTTTATTTTTCAAAAAATTCTTTTATATTCGCTTACTTTGTTTGTTTTTAAAATAGCGTAAAACGGCTAGTCGACGTAATAATTATTCTTCATCAACAAGATCAAATCGTAATGCAATTTCAAAAGAAGAAGACAGTAAACCAATATCTCGTAAAATTAACTATGAAGCACTTGAAGCAGTTGTTGGTCTATCTGCTGCACCAGCTTCATCCTCCCAATTAGACCAGCATATTGTACCGGCGACTGATGTAGATAATAGTGAACCAAGACCTGGTCCATTGCTTGCATCCACTTTGTGTGATAATGAAAATTCTAAAGAATTATTCAAATCACCTAAGCAAATTTTAGAGGCCAATAATCAGAAATCACGTTCAAAAGCATCTGTATGTAACGGTGAACAGTTAAATAAAGCCTATGGTGGACAAGATGATAACAACATTGCTGTTGATAATGATAATGCTGAGGAGGAGGAGGAGGAAGAAGAAGCAGTTGAAGACGACGAAGAAAATAATGTTGGCAATAATGATCCGTATAATCAATATTTGCCTAACTACAGTCATGGAATCGATGATGACGATGATGAAGACTGGTCGACTGGTGCTGAATTATGGTGATTACCAGTGAATTGTAAATATTGTAAATATTTTATCAGTGAAGTGAAATTATCCATAATGTATATAGATGTATATTATCTTCTTCTTTTACTACTCTATATTTATGTGACCAAATGCATTTAATTTCAATTGTTTATTCATTTATGAACAGTTTATGAATTGAAAAAAAAAAACTCTGTTCACTATTCAACGATTAATTTTTCTGTGTATTTGAGTAACAGAGTAAGTAAGTAGCGAGTTCCTGCTCTCCTACCTGTTAAATTTTTATACCGAATAGATTTTTTTATAATTGTATTTTTTTTCTCGTCTCTTTGTTCACATTTAAGATTTTAAAAGTATTTTATTTGTTTTGTGATTTTCTTTTACTTGTTGATTTGTTATTATTTAATGAAATTGTATTTTACTTTTGTGATTATTACATAACTGCGTGTATGTGATTTCTTAAAGAAGGGAATTTTATTTCATTTAAATAAATATCATATAGTAGAAACGAACGGATTTTTTGGTTAGGAAATTATGCAATACAGTAACATGTGTCGTCAACACTTGAATTCAATAAGGCAACTGGAAGAGCCTCACATGGAAATCATCAGTTCAAAGATGATATTATAACCCAGGTTGAATTGTTTTTCATGTAAACCAGAATCCATGAACATGAACTTTATTATTGTAAGGGTACAATTCGGGCAGTATTGATGCAGTTTAACTTCATATTAGGTAAGTTTATTCGGTATAACACAGTAATAGCAACTGGATGACGTTTCGAGCACAATTTGCTACTCATAATCATATCAATGTGATTATGAGCAATAAATGTTGCGTCAAACGTCACCATTTATTGAAACTGTATTATTCTGATATAGCAAATAAATCATCTAACACAAACTCCAATCTACAAAATCCCTGACTTTCTGTTAATTAATAATGGAAAGTTAGTTAAAGAAAATCCGTGATTGATGGTCTAGTGTGCATTTGTAGATGCACTATTTATAAGAGTTTGCTTTAGAGTGATAATACATACGTCTCGCGTCATTTTGACCGTTTCTGTAAAATAATCGACAAGACTTACTAATACAAAATATGGTGAGTATTTCTTGACTACATATTTGATGGTTAAGTAGTAATGATTATTTCAAGTTCGACCATGGATTGATAACAGTTAGAGAACCATTGCGAACTAGAGACTACTAGACAGTTGTTTCGTCCTAGTTTTGGACCTATTGTCAGTATGCACCCCCTATTGTTTTCGTATCCAGGACCTTCTGGTTACAAGACAAGCTCATAGACCACTCAGCCACTGGGAGTCGACTCAGTTGCCTATGAATTCTGACTTGTACCAATTTGTGATTTAAGTGCGACCACCAGCCAATTGTGCTCATATCAAGGCATGATATGAGCTTGACATGATTACGAGCAATGAACTGTGCTCAAAACATTATCAGTAAATAATACTGAACACTGTGCAATTTTTCAGATACATTTACTCTATCGTAGAATTTAACTCCACCACAATCCCCGAGATCTATTCTTCTATCGAATCAACCTCCTTTTGCTGATAGAAATGAAAACTTCCTACACTATGTTGCCTTTCATTTTTCACGAATGATTACCACTTGAAAATGCGAATGTTATTTTCGCACACGTTTTTGGCTCTATTTTGTAGTATGTGACGTTTTTTAAGATATCGGCTATTTCGATATAACTTTGTAACAAGCATACATTTGTACATATTTTGAAACCAAGTAGATACGATGCATTTATGTTCTTGGTTATTCCAGTTAGGTAACTGCATAATTGAGACTATACCCAGTAGCTTGGATATCTAAGTTGCTTCTGTCTATTGGTTGGTCGGTCGGTTTTCGACACAGAACTTTGCACATATGTGCGGCAGTTCTGTGTCTATTGAGGTCATAATACTGATCTTTAATTTTAGACAAAGGCGTTAGGTTTGGCTCTTCATTTCTTTTTAGCTTAATATTTTAAGGTATGAAATATTTTTGGATATTTTTACCTCATAGTTATTCAAAATGATTAATAACAGATAACGGTGCATACTAGGACAATGATAGTAGGAGACGCCATAGGTTTTGTTCCGTCTTTTGATTTCCAGGTTGTCAGCGCTACATACATCTGAGTTATTCAATGAACTTAAATGCTGAGAAGCTTCGGATTTAATTTCTTGTCAAACAACACGCTACTGAAAAGTGATCAGTAGTCATTTAGTTTATTCTAAAGTCAAACAATTTAAATCTATTACAAGGACTAGAGAATGGTAATCACAATTCCCTAACCTAAAATAACATTCAGCGTAAAGAAAGCCTTCACATTTTAATGTTGTGGTTTTCTTGGTGAAATTCATCTTGAAATTAAAGATGTATATATGTATGACAATTCGACTGACTGGTTTCAGCGTAGTACTTTGTTCAAAGTTGCAACAGTTCAAGTTGCCCCACTTCATATGTAGCACATAGAGGAAGACAAAAGAGATTCGGAAGGACAGTAGTAGGCAGAAATGTGAGTAAGAAAGAATAGTACCATGGAAAAACAATAGGGTTCTAATGGATATGGGAGATCATAGTGTATGTGTCAGAACCACTGAGAACAACTTTAAGCTAATCGATAGCTACTACCCTGACGTGGTGGTCGGGCCTGGATTTCGTAATGACCCAACAAACTACACTGGCTGGAACTAATGTTCCTGCAGCTCCTATCATGCAAGATAGGTTGTTAGGACAGTATTTAGGCTAAAAGCAGTCACTGGCATGGTATTGTGGTGAGAGCTGTCTGCTAGCCAAAATTGGTAGACAGCAATTCACGGCAGTCCTTACGTTCCAAATCTTGGTCATGAGAAAAAAACAAAGACTTACTCAACAACCAATCACAGCAGACTTAGCTTGGGCGGATACGATTCGCAGATATATCACCGGACTGTCTAAGAAATGGCAACAAAGAGATGACAAAACAACCAATCAGAAGACATTACCTCTCTGCTAACAATAACGAATAATAATGTTCATAAAAATCTATAAATATCTGTTGGCCCTTATCTTCTGCCATTACAGTGTAAGATGCTTACACTGTGCTTTGGGTCTGCGTACATAGCGGTACTGCTGGCGAATAGAGATGTAACAGTACTAATGTGTTCCCCTCAGATGGCTAGCTATGCTTTCTGTCCACTCTGGAGAGACAGGGTTAGAAAAGGTTGAAACAAAATGATTTGCGTCCCTACTAACTCTTCGGTGGTCCGTAACCGGCGATAAGTTACTTATACGGAAACAATTTTAAAAACCAATTCAAACAAGCCGTGTGTGATTGGCGTCAAGCAGTTGTCCCTTGGGCGCTGCAGTCGCGCAACACTAATTCTATTGCAGGTACCCCGAAAGAAAAGAACACAAAATTCTTATGACAATTTCAGTTTTCAAGTGTTGGTTTGTAGGGATTTGATTAATTGGTTACAGGATTTCATCATGAGCTGACATTGGTTAGAGAACTATTGGAAAACCTGAGATTACTGAACAGCCGTTTGGTCCTAGTTTAGGACTCTTCACAGTACGCACGAGAACCATTGGGTGCGTACTGATGAAGAGTCCCAAACTAGGACGAAACAGCTGTCCAGTAATCTCAGGTTTTCCAATAGTTCTCTAACCAATGTCAGCTCATGATGAAATCCTGTAACCAGTTTCAGCTTTCGTTTAATAATATAAGATGAAACCACAAAATATTTTGCGTTTTCCTCCATATTTCATGTATGACAATTCAGTTCAATTAATCCCATCAGTTTGTTTTTTCACTATTCCAACTGTTTTAGAAGTTGAAATCTGATTAATTTTAAGAGATATATTTGATGTTCTAAGTGCCATTCATACATATAATAGAAGCTCAAATTATGGATATATAACATAAATTTTAAAGTAATGTACATAGAGTATTTTGTTTATTTCAGTGTATGTCTCCAGTTAATTGGGTTGTATTTCAATTGTTCTCTATCAGCTTCAATTTCACTTTTTCTTTCGACTTTTCTGAGTCTTTCATTTTCTTCCATGATCTGTTATATGAGAAGAAGGTAGAGACGTATCGGGGAGATATAAGTGTCAACACAACATAAAGTATATATATCACAGAAACAAATACATTTCCTCGTGGCGATGGGGGTCACAGAAATATATCTATTATTAATGTCAGTAAAAAGTTTGAGGATTGTGGATTAGATCAAATAAAGTATAGTTATATGTCAATAATTTGCACACAGTGATAAGTTTTGTTATTGGTAATATTTCAAGCAAAATTACCAATAACAAAACTTATCATTGTGTGTAAACTATTGAAATATAATTATACTTTATTATATCTATTATAATATGTAAAAGTTCATTTTATCTCCGCAGCTCTTAATACCGTGTCACTATGCAAGTCAAATACGTGAAGTAAGATCTGAAACTGGTGCATCTTACTATGTTATCGAAGCACATAATGCCAGTATCTCACGGAAGGTATGAATACCTTTGATATAATAATAACCAAGTAAACTGTTGATCGTAAAGTAAGCTACTTATTAGTTAACACAGAAGTACCTATTTAAAATAAACTTTTGTTTACTACACTCGACCTTTGGCTGAGGGCTGGCTGCTAGTCAAAATTGGTAGATAGTAATTTACGTCAATGTTTACGTCCCCAATATTGGTCATGAGAAAAATAAGAACAAAGACTGACTCAACTAAAAACCAATCACAGCAGACTTTGCGTAGGCGGATACAATTTGCGGATAGATAATGTGAACTTCAAGAAACGGCCACAAAAATATGAAAGATTAACGTTCAGCGAGAAACCACCAATCAGAGGACTGTGTTTGGTTGCTTATAATAATCTATAATAATGTACATTAAAATCTATAAATATGTGTTGATTTCCTAAATAAACGGTCTGTTGCCTGGCCCTTGTCTTCTGTTGTTACAGACCTACCAAATTACTATTTGTCACTGAAATACCTTCAAAGAAAAGCA